GTAGGTTTATAAGATTTTACAAGTACCATTCTTGATGGCCATTGGCAACACATCAAAGTCATCGAAGACTTGTTCTAGTATGTTGCCAGGTCCTCTTCTTGAGTCGTGCTGCAATTTGCCTCACAGGGTTAGGATTCCGATAACCTGATGGCAAAGGGAGAATACAGGATGATTCAATGTGTCTTGATTGCAAAAGACTTGCCCGCTTCTGAAAGGCGTCCTTGCGAGGTTCTTCTCGGACTTCACTTCCAAAACCGCTGTCAACCAAGGAACGTCTCCCGCTAACCACCGGCGGTCCTTTCTCGTCCCTCGTTTTTTCACCTCGTACAACACGCCGTGCCAGTCAGTGGCGGGAGCCCTTGGGACTCTCCCGGCGATTGAATGCAAGGACCCGCGACCCGTTTGGTGGAACACGAGCGGAAGCCGCCGCCCGTTGACTGGGAAGTTGATTTTGATGTCTGTCCTTTGGGGCTTAGGGGTCGAGTTCTGGAAGTGCCCCTATTGGAACAAGCATTTGGATCATTCGGAAGTCGGAATTGAGACATCGGACTTCATTTTGGAAACAGAATGGATCAGAATGGCTATTGACGTATTGGAACAATGGAATGATACCGTCACAGCTACTTAAGACAAATTAGCCCAGCTGGAGACCCCAGAAGCAAGATACAAACCGGGACAAAAAGAAAAATCTGGAAACAGCTGCTGTTTTCAACACATCGACCATCTCTTCCTTGGACACCATCATCACATAACCGGGACACCATCACAAGGTGACCGGGACACCAGCATGACATGACGGGGACACCATCACAACATGACCGGGACACTGTCACAACATGACCGGGACACCATCAAAACATGACCGGGACACCATCACAACATGACCGGGACACCATCACATGACCGGGACACCATCAAAACATGACCGGGACACCATCACAACATGACCGGGACACCATCAAAGCATGACCGGGACACCATCAAAACACGACCGGGACACCATCACAACA